CAAACATCCTGCGACATTCAGTCAATGTGGGGTAAGGTCCTTAATTACAGGTTGTAACCAAAGCCTGTTCATAAAGATGGACAACACAAAAAAACACTGACTCTAGTTGTATAAGAATTAAGCGCTTTTAACCGAGCATGAGTAAACTACATTTACCCAGTAAATGAGCACTTGAACAAACATTGTGACATGAACTCCCTAAAATGACAGAAACAATTGTAATATGACCTTAGCTTGAACTCTTTCCTATCTCTGATCAATGCTTGTGTGCTGTGTTCAACAGTAACTCATATAGAAAGGGAGGAACTGTCTGGCCTACGTGCAGACGGACAATTCGAAACTAGACAGATACCTTTATTTCTTTTTTACCTTTAACTAACAAATGCCCTGAGTGTTGCTATGCACTTGGCAGATGTGACCTCAGAGTTCATGTTCTTACTTGATGATGATCCTCTTGTTGACCCGATCTGTGCAGCTAGCAAACTTCTTCTTTCGCGCAGAAGCAAGAGCAGACAGCTTCCTGTTCAAACCAGACTACAGGTGGCTTCAGCTTTCATGCTATTACTCAGAAACAGTTGTCTTATGTTTCCTGTTTACCCGACTGTATAAAAACCTTCTTCTTTCACTATTCGAGGGTGTTCCTCTCTGAGCACTCATGAATGTGAAACCCTCCGCAGAGCTTTCTATTAAAGACCCAAAGATAATTCCGGTCTGAGAAACTCTTTATTTCACATCTTGAGATAAATTTCCACCACACTATCTTTGAGAAAAAATAATTAAAAATGTACTTTAAGTGAGGTTTATGACCTATACAGCAGCCAGCCACTGGCAAGTGGTAAAGGACATACATTACACCAAACACTGAACAACTGCAGTTAACCCAGAAACCACTGGGTTAAAACAACTCATATGAAAAAATTAAACAAAAGCAAAATTATTCAAATGTACTACCGATTCCACAAAGCTTCTATGTCGTGTTTCTGTCTTAGATTTTTATCATTCCCTTTTTTTGGCAGCGACATCCCCAGTCTTCTTGACCCATGTTATTATTCAGCATAAACGTTTATCTCTTGACTGATAGAACTTTCCAGCACTTCCTGTTGTGTTCATTTGAAAGTCGTTTTGTGTTTATTGTTGCTGTATTCCTCACTGACAGCTCCTGGAGATCATCACGTTCTGCCTGCTCCTATACTTCTACAAACAGCGCAGCGCTAACCATGTCGTTGTTATTCTGATGCTGGTCGCTCTGCTGGGTGAGTCTGCAGCATTAAAGTCTGTCAATATCAAGCTGTTACCATATTTTACTGGAATACATCACCACATTTTGAGAATTCAAGAAGGCCCCTGAGGTGTGGTGAAACAAGTTTTAGTTGTATTTTTACACAGGATCCGTCACGGTGATCACAGTGAAGGCGGTGTCGGGCATGTTGGTACTCTCGGCCGAGGGCACCATGCAGCTCGACGACCCGATCTTCAGTGTCCTGTTTGTGTGCATGCTGGCTTCAGTCGTCTTCCAAGCCAGGTGAGAAACGATGAAAGAATGAATGTATGATGGATTCACTGTTGTTGTGTTCATAAAGAGAGATACATACAGTGGCTTAATATTCAAGTTTTATTATTATTATTTTATTTTCTTGCGTCAAGTTCTTTCATTAAGTTTTCTTCAACAGTCATTGAATCCTTTTTTTTTTTTTAGATTTCTCTCCCAGGCTTGTAAGCTGCACGACTCTTCTCTGATTGCCAGTGTCAATTACATCCTTTCAACCTCCTTTGCTATTGTAGCAGGTGAGTTATGCTGTTTCTCTGGTTTGTGTTTGCCCACATTATTTTGACAGATTTCCATTGTAGCCAGAATGGCACTTAGGTGAGTTCATACCTCCCCCAAGGCTGAACAATCCAACATGTGATTGTCAAGAAAGTGAAAAAAAAAAAAAAAAAGACTCCTGGATTTGCCTGTTAATCTCCACAGACCCATTTACTACTTATTGTGGCTCAGGAGGTAATAAGTAGTAAAAGTAGTAATATTATAAACCTATGAAGGCTTTGTCAAGAGTCACAACATGGAAGTCATGAGTGGTTTTTCTCTCTCCTGGGTTTAGGCGCTGTGTTCTACTTTGAATTTAAGAACGAAGACGTCCTGCACATCTGCATGTTTCTGTTGGGGTGAGAGGTTCACAGAACATATTCTGACACGTCACAGTTGGAAAAGTGAATTCTGTTTGACTGCCTCTGTTTCAGGCTCCGGGTGTTACGCATGCTGACTCAATGTCACGCTGTCAATGCTTTTTATAGAATGCACACATACCTTGAAAATTGTTTTTTAAATTAGGCATGATGTCACTTTCTAACTTCTCTATGACATCATTAATCATATGATGTCATATGATGGGGAATAATGGTCTGACCAGTATAAGCTTTAGATTGACTCCATGTGGAGATAACATCTACAGTGATTTTACTGCTTGGTGAAAATCCATCAATGCATTGTTGAGTTAAATTGTCGCGCAGGGTAATTAAAATAGAAAATATTTGCTGAGAATATGTAACGATTTACTTTTTGAAAGCTGTTGAACTTCATTTTCTTTTGCTTAAAAGTTGTAACTGATTATTTTCTTGTTTGTACAGAACTGCGTTGTGTTTCCTGGGCGTCTTTCTCCTCACCAAAAACAGGAAAAAGACCAAAACCTTTGAGCCGTACGTCACTATGGATGTGACCAATGGTTTGTATGAACTTCTCTTAAATACTGAACATTGTACAGGGATCTGTTTACATTTAAAGCTACTCAGCAAGATTTTTATGGAGAGGAAGCTTTGTCTTTTTAATCACATCACAAATTGAAAGCTAAAACAGGAAGCGATCTTAATCACGTCTCAAACTTGTGAATGGGTTTCCTGTTACTAAACCTAGCTAATGTGAATGTCCCTGATGTGTGGATCAATAAAGTTCTATCTTATCTTATCTAATGTTCCTTAAAACACAAAGTACAGAAACAGTGAAAGATATGGAGCGGATATTTCTATGGGAGGCTTATATTGGCCGATACTATCAGCCAACCTTTATATTCGTCAAGCTCTATGTTCTCCAGAAGATTTTAACTGTGCAGTTGCTTATTCTAAGTTTTTGCTGAGGACCTTACCTCCATCCTCAGGTGTCCCGACCATTCATGACAAAGGCCTGAGTAGTCAGCCAGACTTCACTGGCTCTTTCACCTACGGGGCTCTGGTCAACAACGATGGAATGGCTCCTGCGACTCTGCCAGTCGCCAACCTGGAGCAGCCGCCAGTCGGCTTTGAATCCGCTAAGGCATCCCTGGACCTGCCTGAACTGAAGAAAGATTAGAACCAAAGTTTTCTTATTTCCCTTTACTCCAAAACACATTCAGGGACTTTGAAGACCGAGTGGGTTACAGTCAGGTCTTTTCACAAACACACAAGACGAGCGTCCATCCCAGTAGGAAGTGTCCACTTGGTGTTTTTAACGTTCCCTCATCACTGCACACTCCTCTCCACGTTCTTTCCATTTTTGAATCTCTAAACCAAAACATGACCTAAGAAGCTTTTTTTTTTCCTGAGAAGAAGACGATTGTATTAATTGCAAAAATGAAGAGAAGAAACTTGAAGCTCCTGGATGTTTTCGAAACATGACGGCAGAGAAGTTTCACCTTGAAGTTTACTGCTTTTTATCCTGCATTTCCCTTTGATATTTACCCTAAAGACTCACTTCCACAACTGTTTTGTTGCAGTTTTGTTCTCATTTACTTGTTAGTGAGAACATACTGGGCACCATACAGTAATCTGTTCTTCCATCGAGGACTGTGAAGTTCCTCCCTGATTTCCAGGTTCCTACAACCTTGTAATGTAGCTGCAGACTTTCAGAACTTTTGCCAATGAACATTTTGACTTTTAATGTCTGCCTCTGTCTGTCTCTCTTATTTGAGCGGTTTTCTCTCCACTTTTCTTGTTCGAAGAATTTAATTTCTACTTTTTCTAATGTGACCAAACAACGGGTGCAATTCTTTTAACTTATTTTATTTATTATTTGTTTCTTTTAATGTGCCTTGAAAAGTAGCTTTACACTGGACATTACTGTAAGGTGGTACTCAACATAAACCATGTAGGTGAGTGATTCGTCACTGTGCTCAGTTATTCTAAAGCAACTATAACCTGTGACAGTGTCTGTCAGAATAAAAATAAACACCTGAAACCTTTAAGAAAGAAAAGTGGTGATGCTTTTGAGAACTGAAAAAGAAGAGAAGTGCAAGAATATGAATAATGAAAATAGTGTACTAATAGTTAGATATGTTAGTGTAATAAAGTAGTCTATTGACAAATATACTTTTTAAGTTCTGGAAGTTAAATATTCCTGCTGACAAATTTAGAAATAAAAATCAGAGTAAGTTGATGCTCAGTTACTATGTTTCTTCCTGGTTTGCATGAAGTTCATTCATTTCAGAGTAATACAATATATACGAAGTATTAGTGTAGTACAAGTACAACACAAAACATTTCTTAAATTAATATTTGAGCAACATTTGAAAACATTTTGAGAAATACAGTTTCATCACTAAACAGAAACACTGTTTCAATGTAATGTGTCCTTATGGACCTCTGAACTCCCTTCAAGGATCCTCATCATTTGATATTAATGTTAACAGCTTTTGTTGGTTTTCATGTAGGAGCCCATTTCTGACCTTCTGCATGAGACCAATAATATTTTTGAATCTTAAAGCTTCAACACATGTGACTTGATAAATTGTCGTTTTGTTATGTTTAAAACTGAGGAACCGAATTTAAACTTTAAACCATTGCACAAACCTGATGAAGCAAGTGTGTGCATGTGCGCGCGCGCGCAACAGGTGGATGCAGTGAACGATGCAGGCGTGCAACTCAGAAACATGACATGTGTGCAGAGAGGAGATGTCTCCACCCGGCTGGGATGAGTCAGCTGATTGATCCGCACACTAGCTGATTAAACGTCCACCATCACATTGGATCAAACTCTGCTGCTGCTGCCACCAAGCTTGGAGCAGCAGCAGCATCCTCCCTCCTGCTGCAGCCTGATTGGTTGGTGACGTTCTCCGGCGGCTCGTCATTGGTCGCACCTGCTGGAGTAGGCTGCCTCATCATCATCATCATCATCATCAGGATAACAGACACACACAAAAACGCATCACAGCAGCCCCATCACAACTCATCCAACAAGTCCCCTGCAGGACATCCTGGTTTCCATCCTCCTGCAATGGGCTGCTCGTGCTGCGTTCACTGACACAAGTGAGGTGAGTGGTTTATATATTTTCATCTGAGGCGGCAGCAACTTCATCATGAGCCACGACTCTGTGGTAACTTCAGTCTCCTCCGTGAAAACATCTGGCGTCACAAACATCTGCTTTCACATCACCGTTCGCTCGTGCAGCTTTTGTTTTTTTTTTCACGAGCCTCTAACGTCACATCACGTGTTTTCCTCGGACGCACATTTTGGTGTCACGATCATCACCGGCCATTTCTGTTGTAAACATGTGGTGTGACGCTGTCGTTCCCTCCCCCCCTCTGTCCGCTCGTCTCTTTCACAGATTGGACAGCCGCACGTGAAGTGTTTTTGTCTATATTTAAAAACTACAGTTTATTTCTTCTCATTATTTAACAGTTTAACTGGGTTTTACTGGATGTTGGTTTGATTTAAATATTGAGGACGTGTCATTCGATCCTGTCTACCTCTAGATGGCGCTCTGTTACCAGTACATGTTTCCCATGTTAGGGTCAGACTTTGCTTCATTTGTCAATATATTTTTATGTGATAGGATTTTATATGATATATGTTTTATCTGTTTTGACAACACATTGCTTCCCTGTAGAGCTCATACAATTATTAGATTTGAAATATTTATTTTTTAAAACTGTGACTGTGAAAGCTGGTTTACTGAAGTCTTTGCAATGGGAGCAGGTAAAAGTTTTTCTCTAAGTCAGTAGCCAACACCCAGATATAATGGAATCATATGTTGTTTTTTTAGCCTCTACTTTGCTCCTGTTCATCGTTCTCTTGTTTCGTGATCTTTTAAGTCAAAACACCATCCTGCTGGTGATGAAAAGTGTCGGAGTGTAACTTACTGGTGGTTTCGTTGCATTTCTGCGACCTTATTCATTCAAATACCAATAAATCTACATCTGGTAGCCTAAAGATGTGCTTTCATTTGATAGTGTTATTATATATCATTATTACCATCAAATAAAATGTTATATTTGTATTTTTACTATTCTTTCCACCCCTTGCTGGAACCTCTTTGCATTCCTAGTCTTCGTGCTCCAGTGTTTCCCCTCATTGTGTCCTCACTTGTCATCAAACATCCAGTCTTTACATTCATTTATCTCCAATCTTCTAATCTGTCAACCTCACCTCTTCCAGTTCCCGTCTCTGTGATCCCTGCCTCCCGGTCTATTGAAAAGGCTTCGACATGCTGCGAGAGAGCTCGAAGGCGTGGAGCAACGGCTCCGAGGCCTACAGCAGCGACCCAGAGGAAGATGAGGAGGAGGAGGAGGAGGAGGGTATGGTGTTCGGGGAGAACGATCAGAACGGCATGGTGGAGGAGCTGATGGATCTGAGCGACCTGCCCACAGCGCTCTTTGCATGCAGTGTCCATGAAAGTGTGTTCGAGGAGGATGTGCACAGGGTGAGACGGAGCAAACTCACTTTCTGGGTCATATCCTAGCTGTGTGTGTTTTGTACGTTGTTGCATCAGTCTGTGTGTGTTTGACTCATCCAGACGAATGTGTCAACGCATTAAAGATTCAAAGCCCAGCAGCACGTGCATGATGTCATCCGCTGCTTTTGCTCCAGTCCAGTCATGGTCTCAAGCTGCATTACTCCAGATCAACACACACACACACACACACACACACACACACACACACACACACACAAGCCTGATGCTGTTATTTATTTTCCAGGCAGTGTGAATGCAGGGCAGTGGATTACAATATGACAGAATCATGAGTCATACTCTGCCTTCATCCATGTGCCCATGCACATCATTTGATCATCAACGTACTCAGTGTGTTATTGTGCTCAAAAGTAAAACAGAAGCCCACACACACACACACACACACACACACACACACACACACACACACACACGGAAATCATCAATGTTTTTAATCACCAGAAGCTCTTGAATCTCGTTTTCTTCCCAAGTTGACGTCCGTGACTTCTATGTGTGTGGCATCCTAAGATGTTTGTGTTCAGTTTTGCGCCCATCACATGTTAGAAACCTCATCAACACTCTCACATAATCGCTGTGTATTATTCAGATATTTTCCTACAGTTTTGTTACACAGACTCAGGAGCATCTGGCTCTAAATTCTGCATTCTCTCCCCCTTCCAGATAATTTTAGGAAAATGTGCGGACTTCAGTGCATGTCTGAAAGCAGCTTCAGACTCATTATAGAGCAGGAATACTCGGATCACAGCTCCTGTTTGCTGGAGGAGGATACAAAGAGAATACTTTCCTCCATCCTTCCAGCTGGCATGCTCCACACCTCTCTCTCTCGCTCTCTTAGTCTTTCATTCTCCATCAAACCTATCCATCCATTTCTCTCTACTGTACGTTTCTAAAATCCACCCTCCTCATCCTCCGCATTAAGTTTCCTCCTCTCTCTCTCTCTGATGAGTTTTAATATTCCCCTCCTGTCTCTCTCTCTCTCTCTCTGAAGCGTTCTTTATTTATCCTCTCCGTGTATGTAAATGCAAAGCGGTGAGGCTAAATCTGGAGCATGCACAAAATCCCTTTAAATGAATCACTCCTGCTTTGTGAGTTAGCTGTTTGTAAACCCATCGCTCCGAGTGGTGGAGTCCGCCCCCCTCTCCCCTCCCTCCCTTTTTTTTTTTTGCCTCCTCGCTTCATTATGATTCACATTATGGCTTTTAAGTGGAAATGCCACCCACACACCCTTCAGTCACAGCGTGTCAATAGATTGTTCTCCATACAGCTCAATTAAATGAGCACGGCTAAAAATACACTTTTTGTATCATTTATTTAAACTTTGAAAACGAGGACAGGAAGGGATGAGGTATGAAATAAGAAAAACAAGTTGTGATATTGTCAAAGCTTGAACAAGGACTTGAGGTTGTGTTTGGCTTGTAGCCGTGCCACAGAGTCTTCAAAGCTGCGGTTCAAGGACACACACACACACACACACACACACACAGTTGTGTCTCCATGACTTCAGAGAACATTAATCTAACCTTAACCAAAGTTATTACTAGCCTAACCCTTACCCTAATGTTACTGAACTGAATTTAACTTAATCTTATCTAAAACTTAACTTGACATAGCCTAACCTAACCTATTACCTTTCATATCCCAAACCTAACCTGGCCTAACCTATCTGTAGCCTAGCCTAACTTAACATAACTTAACCTAACCTAAACCTAACCTTCCCTAATGTTAACCTTGGCTAAACCCTAACCTAAACTTAACCTGAACTTAAAACATGTCTTAAATCTAAAATGTAAAGATTATGTTATGGGGACTTGATTTTTGTTATCGTAAGGAAAACGATATCCCATAATGTGACTGTTTAAACATATTAAGGTCCCCAGTATTACCTGGACCACACACACACACACACACACACGCACACATTCATGCAGTGTGTAACTTTGTTCTGCAGTTGTACAATTGTGGCTGTTTGCTGACAGCTATAAACCTGACATCTCCAACCTCAGTGTCTTCATTATGGGTGAAGTACAGGGACATGGCAACCTACATTTCTGTGTCTTTGGGCTCTTGGCTCCCTCCCAGCACCGACATTACCTTCTGTCTCTGCTCTCAAAGGCCTGTATGCGGGAGGGCTGTTTAGAGGATTGGATGTTCATGTAATCACACTGCGAGAGGGAGGGACAGAGGGAGACGTGAGCCCCCATATTTATAACAAGCTCTTAGTGGGCTATGAAAGCCTTTTCCTTTCTTCTACATTACTCAAAAGAAAGTAAAAAAAAACAGCATACAGCAAGAGAAAAAACTCTTTTCTCTGCAGTATTTTGTTTCCCTGAACAGATTTTAAGTAAACAGGAGAGACGCTGTGAAAAGTGCTCACTGTTCCCTCACAAAGTTCAGCTGAGGTCTGTTCAGACTACAACTCTTTGTGTGTTATGATTCATTCAGTAATAATATGATTAAAATGACTTCAGCTCAACACGTGATGATTTGAATCCTGTCTCAGTGATCTACAACATTTCAATATCCAAACTTAATCAATGATATATCTCTGCTTATCACTGAGCATGTGTCATTATTCCAGAGACATGCAGCATGGACAGAGTAGTGACACTTTATCAAACCTCAAATGTTTGTGGTTTTTAAAAAAAAAAAAGCACTTTAAATTCATGAACATGTTTTCCATTTGCAATTAATGAAAATCAGAATTTGCTTTAGAGGCGGCTTTGGATGTCGCCATGGCACAGGAGTTAGAGAGGGTTGTCCACTAACCAGAGGGTCTTTGGTTTGATCCCCATCTCCTCCAGTGTCTTTGGGTAAGATACTGAAGCCCAATATTGCCCCTGATGGCTGTGGCGACAGAATGTGAATTCTGTTTGATGGAAAAAGCGCTGAAATGCAGTATATGGATGAATATGATCCGCACTAAAAAAGTTGTGTATGAAAACAGTAACTACGCCGTGAAGATCATTCCCTGAGAAATGTGTTTAAAATGGAAAAAAAAACCATTTCATATTCATTAGAAACATTTAACACTGAATAGACCTACATCTTTATATTTCACTGGTGCAGTTGCTGTTCTAAACCTGCCTGTTTGGAGTGGGCTGTTTGCTTGGCCTGTGGAAATGCTGCTTGCAGTTTTCTTTTTAAAATTGTAAAAGTGACCTGCAGTAATTGAGTCGTGGTGAGTACTGACTGACTGCAAGACTCCGCACCCTGAAGCTGTGACACTGCTGCTGCACAAAGAGCTGTTCACCTGTTTATTCAAAGTTCAGTGAAGCTCGACTCAGAACGCTGAACTCTAAACTGGAGAAGAGCTCGTCGCTGTTGTGAACTCGCTGTTGTTGTGATTGACAAGGTCACTTATGTTGACGAGTCCCTGCCCCTGCTGCTGCAGAGCGCTGGTCACCTGTTCATTCAAAGTTTTTTATCATTGAACATATCCCGTGTCCAAATCGCACCAAGTTGGACACTGCACTTCCTGTGGCTCTTAACAATACACATAGTGTGAAGCCCACAGGATGCTGGTTCTTTAGATATGGGTTCCAAATATAAACAGAGATCTCTGGAATAATTTGATTTGTAGAAATGGTTCAGTTTTCTAATCATCATGATTCTTGGCCCTGAAGTCTGGGAACTATTGAAAGACTGTTTTTGGACCTGACTTTAATTTGTGTGGCATGGTTTGGATTTGTGTTCTGTTTGGTTGTTCACTGAGTTTTCCATTTCCTGTAATATTTTGAAATCTCACTCCTTATGTGCCTCTGGCTTTATTTCCTGCCTTTGTTCTTAATGTGTTCCACCTGTGTTCAGTCACATGCCTCCTTGTGTATAAAGTCTGGCCTCATCTTGTTTCGTTTCCTCGAAAGTTTAGTTTTTATTTTTCTTAAACTATCTTTCACCTACCAAGTCTGCATTTGGTCCTCTGTTGAAACCTGTGACAGAAAAAAACAATAAGTCTAAGAATTGATTCTTCTATCATTTCTGAAATGGGATGTATTTAATGTATGGGTTTATAATGTGGATCATTTTATCAAAAAAACTTCAACCATCCTCCAACTGGAGTTGTTTCCATCGATGAAATGATCCACAGGATTTACAATGAACGTGGCTGCAGCCGGTGGCCGCTGTACGATGTATTAGCTCCCATAGAAAACCCTTTGTACAAGAAGTGGAGGAGTTAGAGACAGAGGTACAGAGAGTGTGTGTGTGTGTGTGTGTGTGTGTGTGTGTGT